GGCTGATTTATGAACACAATGCAACCAGATGTTGGGCTCATACTAAGAAATGATTAAGGATGCAAAAATGATCCCTACAAGCATTCACCTGTTTAGCCTTCACTTTGAACTAACCCCCTCAAATGTCCCATGTAACCTTAAAACGAAACATATGTGGCAAGGATTGATCATTAACCACTGCTTTTTACAAGATGCACTTGAATACCATAAAATACACACACACACACACACACACACACACACACACACACACACACACTGATCCAATAGCACAGAACATAAAGACTCTAACTCTTCTTGGCATTAAGGACATAGTACAATAGCAAAACACAAGGTAACTAGATCATATATAATCCAGCTTTATTTTCAAACCAATTTGAGACTGAAACCATCTTTTCCCCTAAAAGGGGGCCCCAGTATTGCCTCTTGAGAGACTTTTGTCAGAGAGGGACAAGGACGAAATCACAAAGGATCTGCTGGAGATCAGGTGCCTGACCACTATGATGGGAAGGGTGTCCGAGGGTAAGGGAATAAAGAATGTCCCCTGAGGATAGACTGGTGATAGAATGGGGCTGGGAAAAAATATGTGGATTAGATGATTGTAGTAGTAAGAGGTTATGTGTCAAGAGACGAAGTTCTGAGCAAGAAATATTCCAGTAGGAAGTTGGGGTCAGATATGAAAGAGAGAAAACCTCTTGAGACAAACATGCAATCTATCCAGCTCTCTAAAAACTTTAAAAAACTTAATCCAAGGCCATAAATTTATTCCTCAAGTTTTTAAGCAGCACTGCTGGTACCTGTGTCACACAAGGTACCCTATGCCAAAGAATCTTCCTCTTCCTATGGTTAGTCAAGTCTAGATTTTCAGGCCAGAACAAGAATATGCTTAATTTCTCAATTTTCTTTCCCAACTGTAGGCATACACCTAGAAGCCTAAAGTCTTCTCCTTTATTTTAATTTAGGATTTTAAAAATTGAGAGTGCACTCTTTAAATGATCAGGAAAGACACAAGATGGAAAGGTCCTGGGTGATACACAACATACCTAGAAGCCACACAGAGGCCAAGAAGTGAAGGAAGAGAAACAGAGGAGGGAGAAGCAACCATAGGTCAATGCCTTTATTGGGATCCAGAGCATAACCTACAAAAGTTTCTCCAGGGGCCGGGGATTTAGCTCAGTGGTGTCACCTCTTGCCTTGCAAGAGCAAGGTCCTGAGTTTGATCTCTGGTAAAAAAAAAAAAAAAAAAAAAAAAAAAAAAGAGAGTTTATTGAGGGGAGTTTGAATTTTTTAAAGTGAGCAGGTACAAGTGCCAGGAGTCATGTGATAACTGAAAGGTGATTTGGGGTGTATGTTGCACAGTCTATGTAGGGGGTGAAGGTCAGTGGGGCCAGTCAAGTAGTCAAGTAGTAGACTAGCTGTCTCATAAGGAAGTGGTCACCAGGTGTTGAAATAAGGCAGCTGTCTGCGTCAGCTACACTGAAGAACCAGAAAAGGAAGAAACGTAGAAATGAAAACCAGGTCCGGAGTAATCACGTTGTGTTTCTGGCATAAGGAAGTTAAATGTACTGCATTCAGAATGGAGGGTTAGGGGTGTACATAGAATTATAATCTCCAAAGCCTCCATGCATATTAACTCACTTTTCAGTCCAAGCTCACTTTTCAGTCTAAGCTCGTAGTCATAGGCTCCTAGTGCCTAGGCAGTGGGAAAGGAAGCCACTAGTTCTGGAACTGCTAGTCTCCTTTTAAGGCTAAGATGGGAAGCTTGGCCCTCATCACCTAAGCCTATTGGGAATGGACTATAAAAACTTCAAACACTGGGTCACTATATTCACTGTCCATAAGAATATGTCCACAGAGACTCGGTACACACATCATTATTTTAGGAGCCACCATCTGTCATCTTTTTTAGTGCGATTGTTATAAACTCATGCCAAAGAAGGTCCCAGAAAAAGAAGGATAATATTAATGATAATGAAAATTCTCACCTCGCTTTCTGCATTTTTCTTTCCACTTTCGTGAAGTTAGTTCACTAAGCCCAGCCTCATGATACTTAGATTTATGCCACCAGTCCTCTATTGAATTCCAGATCCCTAAAGACCTGGACACTTTTCTGATGGCACCTCCATCTGGATTTCTCACGGGCACCTCAAACTTGGCATGCTTGAAACAACTTTGAAGCCTAAGTTGTAAGATAAAGGGTGGTGAAAGCTGAGACTGGAGAGAGAGGCAGAGCTAGGCCGTGGAGAGGTGCACAATGACAACGAGCTTCAAACCTGGGCTACGGTGTAATTCAGTGGAAGGATGCCTGCCCTGGCATATGGGAAGTTTTAAGTTCAATCTCCAAAACCAAAAAGGCAAACTGCAGCAGAATCAACCTGGGTGCTCACTGAAAATACTGACTCCACAACCTGAGACTGGGATCCAGAAATGCCCATTAGTAATAAGTTTCCCAGAGACATTTTTATGCAATGTATCTTTGAGAACCACTGCATGTGGAGGAGCAGCTAACTGACTTTCGACACAGGGAATGTCAAAGCGAAGTATTCTCTTGTGGTGTTTCTCCTCCTGGTAGGTAAAAATCTCCTGAAGGAGCGTATTGTAATGACTTTAAAATAATTTAAATAACTTATTGTGTATAGTGATGGGGCAAATACAAATATTACTCTAGTCAATTAAGAATGTTAGGGCCGGGGATATAGCTCAGTGGTTTTGCCACCTGCCTCACAAGTGCAAAGACCCGAGTTCCATCCCCAGTACCAAAAAGAAAAAAGAATATTAGAAAAGTATAATCAAAATATAAGGTAATGAAACAAAAAATAATAGTTGAAAGCTAAGGATGTAGCTCACTAGTATAATGCTTGCCTAGCATGTATGACGCCCTAGTTTCAATCCCCAGTGCATGTATACACCTGCGCACACACACACAGACTTTTTGGGAAAGTGTGTCAGATATCATCCAGTTATATTGTATTGAAATATTTTGAATGAAAACGTTTCCACAGAGTTATATAATGTTCAGGTATAAAAGACCAGTTTTTGTTTTGTTTTGGGTTTTTTAGGTGTGTGTGTGCTGCTGCAGGAGAGCACATACTCTACCACTGAGCTATACTCCTAGCTCCAAGACCAGCTTTTATCATCATAACACATTTCCATTTGTAAAAGCTTTTATTTGAACACACAACATGTGCACTAGTCATTTCTGTTACTATGATAAAATACTGGAGAAGATCAACTTAAAGGGAAGAAAGATTTATTTTGGTTCACACTTTCAGAGGTTTCATCTATGGTCAGCTGTCTCCATTGCTTTTGGGGCCTGTGATGAGGCAAAAACAGAGTGAGTAGCAGAAGAGGCTGCTAACTTCCGTGGAGGTCAAGAAGCAAAAAGAGAAATAAAGAGAAAGAAGGAGGTGTAGAGCTCTCAAAATCCCCTTCAAGGACATGCCCAGTAACCTCACTTCCTTCCACCAGGTCCCACCTCTTAAAATTTCCACCAGCGCCCAGTAGCGCCATCAGCCGGGGACCAAGTTTAACACATGAGCCTCTGAAGGACACTTAAGAGCCAAGCCATAACACCGTGCTTATGTTAATTACTTTTATAATGTTTTGTATCAGTGAAGAAATCTGTTTTCACATAAGGTCAAAATATGCCATGCTCAAAATTCTCAAATTTGCATCCTATAAAAAATACAGTTACCCAGGTATGGTGGTACACTTGTAATCCCAGAAGGTGAGGGACAGAGGCAGGAAGATTGTGATTTTAAGGCCAACCTGGGCTACATAGTAAGACCTGTCTCAGAACAAAAACACTCATCACCACAGAGAAAAATATAAAATTATTTCTATAATTAAGGAGGAATGTTGAGTTTCTAGTTCCAATTTCACTTTAATCACTTTTGAGATTTAACAGCATTTAATACACAAGACTTCAAATTTAGAATAAAATTTTTAGAATAACATCTATAAAATATTACCAGTATTATTTAATCAAAGAAAATGGGATGCGGTTGGTTCAAACTTAACTTCCAAATTTTTGGTTACTCTAGAACCAAGACTTGCTCTATGATATTAAATTAGTTTTTAAAAATTACTTGTTTTGAGCATGTCGTTGTAATAGACCTTTATTGGATCTTAGCCTGGATATGGTAAGATTTGCACATCAAAAAACTTACTTCAAATGGTTTCAATTCATTATAGTATGTTCCCATTACAACTCCCCAAATGATTTTTTTTTTGAGGAAGAAAATCCTAGAAAACAAAGATGACCTCAAATATCACAGGACATCTTACAATTTGGCATCAACTTCAATATCTTCTCAGTGTCTATGATTTTTTTACTCCTACCTTTAATTCCTCTTTCTGAGGTACAATTATTCAAATGTTCTGCCTCTTGTAGACAAAGTAAACACAGTCTCTTCAGCACAATCTTTTTTCCTACAAGAAATTCATTCCAGATACTTTTTCATTCAATTTTCACATTATGTTGAAGCAAGTTTTTTGATATTCATGAAAATTCTCCTCTACAGCCCACCGTGTAAATCATTCAGATTTTATGTAAACAAAGAGGACTCATAAAGAGTTGATCGTAATTAGTTTGTTACAATGAATAATTTTTTGGCTATTTAGGATAAACAGAGGGTGGCCTCATATCTTTGAGACAATACTGTTCCTAGAGTTGAGTCTGTGGCTAGAGACAGTTAGAAGGCATGCATTTGAAAAATAATTTGAAGAATTGTATCACCCCCCCCAAGTATCAGTAAACAAAACAGTCCAAAGCTAAGCTTTTCCTTTTTATGATACTCACAGTATAATGAGATTGTGTTCATATTATATGCCTGCCATTCACGAACCCTCTGACTGGGATTATATAAAATCTCACTCTGAGCAAGAAGCCAGTGGGGAGGGGTCTGGCAGCATCCAGCACAGGCTGGTTTCCCTGCAGTCAAGTCAAAGGGCTCTTACTTCTCCCTGCAGGTAACTGCCTGACACAGAGCAAAGTAGGCATGGCTTCCAATGCATTTGATGATCAGTATGAGGGCCGTATCCAAGAAACGGAGGGAAAAGCTCCCCAGCTATTAAAAGAAGAACTGAACATGAATATGCAATTAAAATATGAGTCGGAAAAAGCCCAGAAATACTGGAAGGAAGTAAAGAACAAAATAAACTCTCCAGAAAATATCAGTGATTTCCATGGTACAGTTCTAGTGGCCTACCCAGGGGAAATTTCACAAGATTTTAACACAGCTGTGAGATAATTCCGTCAAAATTCAGATAAGTTTCAGTATAATGCCTTCCATTATTACTTGACAAGAGCTCTTCAGCTTCTCAAGGAACAGAATTGTCACAACGTTTATAGAGGCACTGGTACCAAATTTTATTACAATGGGAAAGGTAGTGTACAGTTTGGGCAATTTACATCATCATCTCTGAATGAAAAAATAGCTCTGAACTTTTCAGAGGAAGGTGGAACACTGTTTAAAATCAAGACCTGTTTGGGTGTTGATATCAAAACATTATGTTTCCAAGGGAAGATGAAGTGGGTTTTCTGTTTTGTTTTGTTTTGTTTTTTTGTTTTTTTTTTATTTTTTTTTAAGATAAAGTGTTAATTCCAGGATACAAGGTGCGTGACAAGGTCACCATAAAACAAACCTCAAAGACTGAGGAGTAACTATAACTGCTTCTGTTGTTCCAAAACTTCCTGCAATTTCAACAGCTCAGGTGAGTCTGGGTTTGCACTGGAGGTGCAGCTGGTGGAGCCAGCACAAAATACAAGAGGGGGTTTCTCCCTACCAGAAATCCCCAAGGCAGAAAATAATGGGCCTCCAGTCCACTGCTGAAGAGTATCAGATTCCTAAAAAGAAAGGACTACTGTCCTAAATTAGAGATCAGAGCCCAGGCTCAGACACAAGGGTCATTTCTATTCAGCCAAGCTCTCAACTCACTGCTGTGCAGAAAGGTCAGAAAGATCCGCTGGACACCAAGTGAAAGGAGATGTGAAAACGACTGGTCTGTCAGAGGACATGCCAAAGGTCAGGGGAGTCAGGAGGTCTTGTTCCAGCAGAAAGGACTGGCTGTAACAGTAACCTGGGCAAGAGATGAGGGTGCCCAAAGCAAGCATGTGGCAGTGGTGGTAGGGGGAGGAGCTGAGATTGGAGCCATCTGTGAAATGTTCTAGGAGGAAGAGTGAAAGCTGGACAGACTGAGGGTGTGGTTAGAAAGCAGAGTGGTAGTACCTGCAATTTCTAATATGGCTAGTTTATAGGTTCTGTGTAAGCTTGAGGACATTTCTATGGGAGTGGTTGGCTGAATAGAATAACAGGTGAATAACTTTGGAGCAGGAGTCAATTAATTGAAATATTTTGCACTAGTGGTGTTTCAGAAGAGTGAAGTACTAGTACATAAGGACTGGACCAAAGATACTATGAGGCTGAAGAAAGAGAGGCATACAGATATAGAATTGTACACAACGCAATTTATTGGGGGCGCATACTGATGGAAGTGTGGGCTTGGGCTACTGCAAGGCCAGCTGGGTCCCTGCAATTTCAGCCAGCAATATTCATATATATATATATATATATATACATACATACATACATACATACATACATACATACATATATAATCTTCACCCTAGCTGAAATATACCGAGTTTATCAAAGAGGCACATTCCTGGAACAGGGTCCACTTGTATAGCTCCACGTAGCACTCTAATGACTGTGTCTATTTATAGCTTGCTGGGAAACTAAAAAGGAAAAAACAAATATTCTGGGGCAATCATGGCAGTTACTACTGAAGATGGCTGCTGAGGGGTCAAGCTGAGTCCATACAAGTGGGCCACATGCTGAAACACACACCCTGGACACAGAATGATGAAGGATAGAACTGGTAAAACAGAGTAACACAAATCTCTGTAAAGGTGTATCACAGATTAATGATTGAAAGTGGAAATGGAGAGAGCATCAAGGAAGCCCATTACTACCCCAGCCTCATGATGAGTGAGGAGTGCCACCATGAGCACAGTACGCATCCTTTTCCAAGCAGTTCGGCTTTCAAGTTTCTGTGCCTTTACACCCATCATTTCTTATAGCCTGAAGTCTCTTCTTTTTTTTTTTTTTTCTTTTTTGAACTAGGGGTCGAACTTGGGACCCTGAGCTTTCGAGGCAGGTGACAGCACCTCTGAGCTAAATCCCCAGCCCACAGGAGGTCTCTTCTTTTGATCACATATCATACTTCACCCATGCTAAAGCGTAGTAAGTTTTATCATGGTAATTGTCTTTCAAGACTTAGTGCAAATATCACTTCCAATGGCAAGGCTTCCTTGATATATTCAGAAAAGTTAAATATCACACCATGCTTTCTGAGAGGATGGAAATTGAGCCAGCAACATGAACACCTGAAACTAGGCTTTTATTAGGGGGACGGGGGCTAGAGGACAAAGTTCTGGGCTGTCTTGACCAATGGTGAGAGCAGCGGGGAAGGGCTGGCTGGGTGAGGTTTTATATGGGTAAGGGGTTATAAGGGTGGGGCATAGTGGAAGTAGATGTTTGGCTGCAGCCAGAGGCAAGGTTTAAATCCACTGCCAAGTTTGAATTTCCCAGTGGGAAGGACTACAAGTGGGAGAGCTTTGTGGCAGGAAAGCTGGGTCTTTATTTCCCCTAAGTGATTTATTATCTTCCAGTAAGAGCCATTTAAGATGTTGGGCTAGGGCCATCTAGCAGAGGACTCTATCACTTTCTGTTATAGATTTAGAATGAGACCACCTCAATGGTAATCTGGCTGAACGTCACTACCTCTGTGACTTTGGGCAAACTGTGCCTCGATTTCTCATTTGAAAAACAAGGATGTGAATAACAGATGCTTCATTTGTATTGCTGTGAGAATTAAGAGAGATATTCAAGACTTACTGCCTGGCCCATGGATGTTGCTCAACAAATACTTTTTGTTTTCCCATGGAAAACCTTGTACACATCTCAGCAGTTTCATCTCATCATGTCTACATGACAATCATTTACTTACAGTCTGGAAACTTTGTTTCCTTATTCACCTGCACTCAGGGACTGCCTCAATGTCCAGTTTAAATCAGGTCCCTCACATACGTGGTTATAGAAAATTATGTTTTATTGAGAGGCCAGGCACCCAATCAAAAGTGGATTTAAATGGCAGAGGAACTGAGTATCTAGCAAATTTAGACCAAATTAGTTCTGTTTTGAAGGGGTTCTGGCACAGGATAAATCTCTGGAGGTAGAAATGGAACCATTGGTTTATTACAAGGAGACCCTGAGTTTCTATATAGACAAATTGTGAATTTAGATCCAACCTCATGAAAACAAGGTAAGCAGGTAGAGAGTCCAGCAGAGGAAAGATGCTGCCCGCCATCTGGGCCAGAGAGTTGCTTTTTTTTTAAAGAGTTGATGTTAAGGTGCAGGCAGGTTGAGAACCCCAGGTCAGGAAGCCAGATCTCACTAGCTACAGTTAACGCCAGCTAGTGAAGAAAGGGCTATGTATTTTGCTGCAAGACAAAAGGTTCAGATCCAGAAACTTCTTCCTGAGTTGAGCAGGACAAGCATAGAGGGACTCCCACAAGGGCCAGGAAAGCTGCCAGCCCCAGATGGGGAAAACTTTTCTCATTCAGGCACAGTGGCTTAAGCAGGGGCCTGGACAGTGGCTGGGGGAGGGGTTGAGAGACCCATGAGCTCTGTCTACTTCAGTGACCTTGAGTTCAAGAACCAAAAGGATGTGTCTTCAAGTCTCTCCCTGGTATTTTTTGAGGACTTTGGGAACCCTGGGAAAGCAAACAAGGTACAGTGAGGCCCTAGCACCCGCTCTTTTGGATTTTGAACTAAAGGGGAAGCCTAAAACATTTGCGAGGCCCATGTCTCCCAAACTCCCTCTGGAAACCTTTCTTTCTCTTCCTCCCATCTGCAGGAATGATAAAAGGCCCTGAATTCCTGGTGTTGCTGCTGCCTACTCTCCTCATACTACTGCTTCTGCATGCTGAGCTGTAACCCTGACCTGCCTGGAGTTAGTTAGTTAGGGTGGGGGCAGGAGGCCAAAGACCAGGAACCTGACTTGTTGTCCAATACCAGCAATATTGGGAAGAGTGGGATTTACTTAATGCCATGTACCCCAATGTATGAAGAAACTACTGAGTCTGAGTGCAAAAGTGGGCAGGCTGTCTTAAAATTTACTTCCTGAGATAAATTCCTCGTCTCTTGACACTTTGGTATGATTAAAATGTAAGTTATATACTTTTGTATTTTGCAGAACTAAGGAAAAAGCTATATTTTAATGCACTGTCAGTAGTCTTAAAAATGTAATTTGTGATGAATGTTATAATCTAGATAAATAAACCATTCATAATTACACCTTGATTTTCTATGACTTGATATTTTTATAGGTTGTATTCTCTATTCAAGAAATTCTCCTAAGGCATTACATGTGATGTAGACATTTTTACAGCTGAGAAAGTTCATGGTATACATTTTTCATAGATCTTCTTGCAGGAATGATTAACTGGGACATAAATATGAGGGCTGTCTTAGATGAATTCATCTCCTTATTCTACTCTACCGGTAATGCAAGCAGTTACCAAGCTCTGTCAATTAATTTAATAATAGCTCCCAAATCTATTCCTCATCTCTCATCCATCCTAATCGTCGGCAAGGAAATCGATAGGCACATTCTGAGGTGTGGTTGGAGCCAAGAACTCTAGACACTGTGCTCACTAAGCGTGGGTTTAAGCTAAAATACACAGAACTCTTCTCACTCATTCCCCACTCTCCATGCCTGGAGACCACAGTGCCCTGGCCTACCGGCTAGTGAGATAAATTGTAAAAACATGGTATGTAACACCAAATAATAGAATGGTGGTATAATAGACAGAGACATGACCCACACAAGCATAGGATCTAGGTATATGACAAGGTTGGCCTCACAAATCACAGGCAAAAAATGTAAGTCAATTAATGTAGTTAGGAAAACTGGCTATTCATGGGGGTGGGGACTGAATTCCTCAACTGCATCTGTTGAACAAAATGTATGGGAGGCCATTCATTGTTTTAGATTAAGCTCCTGCACTAGGCCCCATAGGCTAGAACAAAGCAGAATGGAATCGCTGTTGCTAGGTGCCTTGTAGTCAAAGTGAATTTATATTGGTATAATCTCCGGTCCTGAGTTCAATCCCTGGTACCAAAAACAAACAAACAAATAAACAAATAAATATATAAAATTTCTCCAAAAGCTCATGTACAGAAGGCTGTCTCCAGCTGGTGGTGCTATTGGGAGGTGGTGGAAATGTCAAGAGGTGTGGTCTAGTGGGCGTTAGTGGATCTCTGGAAGTAGGTCTTTGAAGGGTACATTTTGGTCCCTCTCTGGAGACCTTTTGGTCGTCTCTTTCTCTGCTTCCTGTCCACAATGAGGTGAGCTCCTTTGTTCCACCACATGCTCATCACAATGATGGGCCCAAGTGAACATGGACTGAAACATCAGAAACCATGATCCAACATAAAGTTTTTCTCCTTTAAGTTGGTTTTCTCAGGTATTTTGTCACAGCAACAAAAAAACTAACAATAAGGAAGTACCTGCTATTCTAAACCTATTTTAAAAAGTGACTTCAAGCCAGGAATTTAGCTCAGTGATTCCAGTGCCTGTTTTGCAAAGTCAAGGACC